GACGCGAAACACTACTTTCAGTTACTATCGCTCCAATTTCCGAGATCTTCCAGCAGCTGGTCCGGAATCGTCTCATCAGCTCGCTCGGCAGCCGCAGTTGACTTCCGCTTCTTCTTACTCGGTTTCGCTTCTGTCTTCGCCTCCTGAATAAATCGAAACCTTCATTCAAGCTAACTTTTTAAGCAAGCCTAAGTAAGTACCTTTATGACTTTCTTTCCTTTTTCCCGTGGTTTCTTTTCACTTCCGCTTTCCTTGGTCTTCTCTTTCTCTTTGTTGTGTGACTAAATAAAGACAATTGCCCTGAAGTGAATGACGAAAAGTGCGTAAGAGAGTTAAGTATTCACCGCTGTTAGCATTTGCTGCTTCAAGCGCCATGCCTTTTCCCATTGCCGATAGAAAACACGTAGGGGTGAGACGGGATCGTTGAGCGCCAGTTTCAGTGACATCTATGAAAAGATCGTTGTATTATGGAGCGGTCACTAAAACGACACGCACAGTATAACTCACAACTTGGATATCATCTCTGATGCTGAACTCCTTCGTGAGAAGAACGTCAGCAACGAACTTCGCGTGCTCTTCAAGCTTCTCAGATAAAGACCGAAAGCACCTCGCAAACTCCACCGAACGGATCTTCCGCAAGAAATCACGGATCTGCAGCAGTCATATATAGGGAGCAGGATAAATACCTTCAGAAGGAGTAATTACTTAGCCTGATTTAACTCATATTCATTCAAAGCGGATTCCTCGATAAGGACGCTGTCGAAAAAGGAGAACCCACCAAGTGCAGAGATAGGCGGACCTCCGAAAAGTCCGGATCGATACGCGATTCGCATCGGAGGATATGCCCCGGGCGTTCTAGCATGGCCTTCCCCGCGGCGCTACTAGCGCACTAATGGCGCGGTACGCCCCGCTGTCTGAGTCTCTAGCCGTTTGCAGAGAGAGCGTTAGCGTTGAAGAGGGCAGCACCGATGAGAGTCGCATCAACGGAAATCAACGGGCAAGGAAGGGTCCCATTTCTCGGGTTCCAGGCCGTTTTCTTGGTTTTTCTTCTTTCCTGCATCACTGACCATATCAAACTTAAAGGCAAGAATCAGGATTAAATTGATGGGTTGATTCCACTCAAATGTGAAAGTAGGGATGGGAGGTGGACCGCCAGTGGAGAAAAAAGGAAAGAAAATCCTGAAATACACAGGAAATACGAGCATTTTGCTCTATGCTGTGGAGAAGTTCAAAAGGCAGGCAGGGAGATGAGAGATAATGTGAGCGCGGAGAGCGGTAGAGAAGTCCGAGAAGAGAGAGCATAGCAGATCAACGCAGCGACGCAGACAAGATATCGAACGGTGGGCGGACCATGTTAAGTTTGGTGGAGTCTGTTAGAAGTCCATGGCGCCTAGGGTCCTAGTGACGCGTTTCGATGTAGAAAGGTGGCGCCCTTTGCACTTGCGTACCCAGCACTTCTAGCCATGGTAAGGGCTTCTAGGATCGACTTTGGAACTTCGTATAAGCGGGCTGCCTTCCTATCAAGAATCAACTTTGAAAAGAGATTGGTGACAGCCGGGCGGGCGGGCGCGGCACGCACACTGCTGCACAAGTCGGAGTGACCAATGGAGCGGCTGAAAAAGCTTTGACGACATCTTTCACTATGAATTCCCCCATTAATGGCTCTGTAACTTTCAATAAGTTGATCCATATAAACGAAACGTTGCAGCAGTAAAACTGGAGGCCAAGGATTATCTACTACTTATTAGTTTTGAATCTCTAATTCAAATCACACCAATTGCGAATTTTCGCATAGAACTTGCCCAGTGACCACTTTCTCTGCCATAGTGTGTCCCAAAAGTCCTCTAAGTGCAGCGTCAGCCATTGGAAGCTTATCTTACCACGGCTTAGAAATCCCTTCGAAATCCTATTGTGCCATGATTGATAATATTCAGAATTCTTGGAAGCTGTGCATACTTATCAAAGATTACCCTGTGAGTTATGGGAACTATAACGTCAGGAAAGCTCGGTTGAGAACAAATCAGATGTGCGGCCTGAAAAAATAAAAATTAAGAACTCAATAAGCCTAATCAGCGTTTTTCGACATTCAGTAAGCAGTTTCTCACTGAAGTTATCGCAATAAAGTGGTCGGCACGTGTACTGCCAGAACATTTTCCTCTCAGCGTGGAAGACCTACCTGACAACGAGCTGGTTTATAGTTACAACATGCCACTAATATATTGAAATCTAATATTAATAACAAAACTGAAAGATGTGCCACAAGCCAAATTCAATCAATATTCGGCGGCACACGTACTAACTCTATTAGGGAAAGGATATTTCCGTGGAGAATGCAAACGTATTTCTATTATATCACTTCATTATATAAACCAGAAGTTTGGTGTGTCGGTTTGTCGTGTGTGTGTGTGTCGTTCTGTCCGTCCGGACCAACCGCTCACAAAACCAGGGAGTACGAAGGGCAACACTTCGTGATGTTGATGTCATGATCATGACAACCCACAGCGGCTATATAAACACCGATCGAGCACACTCAGTCTCATTCTACATGGTGCTGCCGTGGCAGCCGGATGAGCGGGGGGGGGGGGAGGGGGGAGGGGTAGAGGGAAGGGGGCAAGAAAGGGGAGGCTGGAAGGGAGGGGAGGGAGGAGAAAGAGGGAGGGAAGGGGAGAGGAGAAAGGGAGGGAGAACATGGCGCTGCCATGCGCCGGAGAGAAGGGGTATAAGGAGGTATAACACATTCAATAGTGAGGTGGTTAATGGAGTACGTCATGCTGCTATTCCGTGGTTCCTCCCTACCCTGTGATGCGCGCGATAGCGGGCGGAGCAAACCTGGTGAATAGAAATACCGTAGCTAAAGGCTTTTTGGTTATGTTGGTCGTATCAGAGGCACATGGATGGCACACTCCATAACTTCATAATTGTGCGATCGACTACCCGTTTACTCTTTTCGGAACGCTCCTGAATATGTCCCAAAATAAGTCTTCTCTTGTTCTGTGCTCTTTATGAATGTGATGGAGAACAATCCTATATGTTGCGTACGCTTGCGTATGTCATTTTGCTAGGGAAAAGGTATCAACTTTGGAGTTATGGGGCGGTCAGCTCATGCGGATACGGTATATCGGTTTACATATTCAGGAACCCCTTTTTATGATTTGGTTAGGTACTCCAATTCCGTGGTAATATCCCCAATTCCGTGGAGGGGATGGTTGTAAACATCACGGAATTGCATAAAGGAAACAGGGATTTACGCAATCAAATATCGGGCACTATTTATCCTTCACTCCTCAAAATTCAGCAGGATTTTGATCGAAATTTCTCCATGTCTGAGGATTTGGTTTGAAAGCTGCCTCCGGAAGTATCTCAACTCGTAGAACACGAATATCACATCAGCGCGTCTTTTGGCGCTGGCACTAATGGTGCGACGCCAGGCGTTTTCGTGCTGAACGAATATGATATTCGTGTTCTACGGGTCAAATTACCCTGAAGGCAAGTTTCTAGCCAAATCCACAGTCATGGACAATTTCGATAAAAATCCGGCTCAGTTCTCGAGGAGTGGGGCAGTGAAGGGTAAACAGTGCCAAATATCTAATAAACTCTTGAAATGAAGACATACCTTCAAAACACAATCCATATCAACAACTTTGGCATTTTTGACCGATTTTGGCTTTTTCGCAAGAATATGCTCGGCATCGTCAAGAAGCTGAAATGAGACATTGAATCCGGAGCCCAAATTCAAAATAACTAAAAAATAAATAACTGAGCCAACTAACCACTATGAAATAAAGTACTAACTAATACTTACTTCTACGGCTAATGTCAGTGTTGGCACATAAGTCCCACAATTTGCTTGTAGCTGGATCAGTAAAGAAATACAATGTAGACGTAAGGGAATGTATCGAAGCGAGTGATATAGCCTGAATTTTCAGAAGTATTGAAAGCATCTTAAAAATTGTATTTGATCGCTTTGAAATTCGCTCACTTCAGCACTCCGTGAATGAGTTGAGTGAGGGGATACGTAAGCTCACAAATCGCTTCGCAATCGTGGACAGCATGAGCTTTTGACACACCCGCGTCCAGAGATACAAACACTGCATCATTTGCCAGTTGTACACTGTTTGGACCATATCCTGCAATTTCGAGGGAACTAAAATGGTTAAAGGAATCTTCCACGGACCATGGACCAGTGGGCGGGACCGGAAGTGGTTTTGCGACGAAATGCATGGTAGGTACGGATCCACGTTCATGGGAAGGTTTGAAGTGAATCCTGTTCACGTTCGTGCGTTCGACACGTGGATCCGTACCTACCATGCATTTCGTCACAAAAACTTCCGGTCCCGCCCACTGGTCCATGGTCCGTGGAAGATTCCTTTAAACATTTGTGGCCGTTCTAATCCGACTGTCTACAACCTGAAAACCTGTTCAATCCGAAACTCACCTTTCGTTTTTTGGAAATGATCGCATTCCTCAGGTGAATGGCAATTTGGCGAATGTACACAAATGCGTACGGATATGCCAAATTCGGATGAAGCACAGTCAATTCAGCGAAAGTCCTAAAAAGGATTTTTCAATAAAGCAGTATTTTTGTGCAAATGAAAACAATAGGCTGTGTTAGAGATCCTAGAGCCATCATGGCTGCTTGACACTGCTTCAAATATATGACCAAGCTTCACAAGGATCTCTCTAACGACGACAAATACTCTCATGAAGGCCACCGAGATTAGGCACGCTCGCCTGTTCCATCCCGGAGTAGTAGACAGGCGGACAAGCGTTGATGTCGCGCCCCTTTTGCCGCTTGAAAGTGCGCGACAAAGGCGCAAGAGCTCGTCCGACCCGCAACTCACACCTTCGTCCGCAAGCCCCACCCTTCCGCTGTCGTTGCCACGTGGCGCTGCTTGAAAGCGCGGGCTGCAGTTGGAGTAGCCTTTGCATTGCTGGTCATTACCATTGACCTAGAGCAGCGCAATGGGAGGTTCCGGGTGGTTTACACGCCCCCTCTCCACCCCAACGTGGGAAGCGGCTATAATAAAGGATTTCCTTATTCGAGGCGTAAGCTTGATTTCTCCTGCCTTCTTTTACTTTTTCCAGAAAACTTTCCTCTTGTTAAGCTTTTACTGAAGGTTTCATACTCTCCAATTTTATCCAGAAGCTTGCCTGTATAATAACACTTCCAAGCACCTCCACTGTATTAACATTGGGTAAAATGCCTCACTATATGAAAAAACATTATTCTATACCTCTGGAATTATGCAAAAATTCTTACGCAGTCTAAAAACTTGGGATTGCAACTCTTGACGACATTTGTCTGACTGTTTCTTCGAGTCAGCCATTCTTAACCTTGACGACAGCGCGGCAACTATGTATGCCGCCATTTTGCACCGCAATGGACATTGTGGCAACTATGTATGCCACACCCATTACATTTATTTTTTCGCACATGCCGATTTCTTCCCAAGTTTTTTGTGTTCATTCTATAGGCCATACATCAACATAACCAAAAACCACGTGGCTCACAGAATGGCCAAATATTCTTTAGTTTGGCAGAGGTTTTCCAGACCTTACGGAAATATCTGTTCAGTTCATTCCTCATTTTCTTTTCATTAACGTAAACATGTTGATAAAAAAGAATAATAGAAGTGAATACAAACCTATTCGTATGGAAGATATGTGTTTTACTGAAACAACCACGTCCAAATTAATTTTGGAACCACTAAAGGGAAAGTAAGTAAAATTTGCCTTTTCATGGCCTTAACACGTCATTTCGGTCGAACTTCCATTACTGTAACTCCGATAAGTTAGACAGATCGAACATTATTGAAAACACTTCATCGCATCTAAGTATTGCGTATTTACAGCTCAAAATCCATGGATTTGTGTGCGGCGCTCGCAAAATCGCTCTGGTCCCACGCGGCAAAAAAGCAAAACGCGCGATGTCGTCAACGCGATGTTAAATGAGGTTGTTACCAAAGGGTAGTTTGCTTTTGGAGCACCGTGTGTCGTCTGCTCAGGTCCTAGCTCCCGTTAATACGCCAACGGACCTACTCCCAAAATAAGCGCAAAATATAAACACATTGACTTGGCTTTTGGCTTGCAGTTAGCCAGCGCACTGATACTACTTTCAGCAAAAAGAGCTCCACATCCAGCTCCATATAAGGATTCTGGGAGTGGAAAAATGAAATTTTCGAGCCTGCCTGCAAATACTCTTGGACTGAACTGAGATGAGCTCTCTTCTATTTGAACGGTGTTTATGATGGAAAGGCAGGCGACTACAAGTCTAGTAAATATGGTTAATGGTGCAGGAAAAAGAAAAAACCATGAGATATGTGGTCCAGACCCCGATAAATGAGACCCCTTCCTTGTTCGTTGATGTCCGCACCGATGCGATTTTCATCGGTATTGTACTTCAACGCTAACGCTCTCTCTGCTAAATGGCTAGAGATCTGCGGCGAAGGGTTAGTGTGTGGGCGTGCCGCGGCGATAGCGCCACAAAGTCGGCCATATTAGATCTCCGGGGGCATATCCATCGCTCCAAATTTCGCGTCACGCGATGTCCGCACGAATCGGGGTGTCGTAGAAGGGTTAACAAGGCTCTACGCGGGTGTGAATAGTCGCCTGCTATTCATTTTCAAATTCTACCCCCCCCCCCCCTTTCTGATTTAGCACCTACTTATAGGAGTATATCGCCCCTGTAATTAGGTGCCCAACTACAATATTCGAGCAGAAGATATCCTAATCATGACACATCAGTCCGTTCGAAACCGCTGACGAATATGCCTAAACGATCAAGGAGGAAGAGCCTGACGCTAATGTTTGCCTACGAAATCTCCAATATCCCATATATCGAATCAGGACCCAAATACGGGATTTGCCAACGCACTGAACTGCACAAGCCAAAGAAATAGGTACCTATTCAAGGGGGAAGGCCTGGCGCTAACTCTAACAAAGTGTAAGTACCAAAGTGTGACTTGCAGATGAGCACCTCTCGCCTTATAGATGTTTGTTCGTATGGTCATAGCCTATAAACAACTCCTCGACTGGCCAGCGCTAGGACATAATTACAACGGAGGAAAATTAGCTTCATTACCTAACAACCTCGTTGAGCACTGATGGCCTTTAAATGTCCCATACACCTCGATGTAGGAAATCGGGGCGATTTTCCTTTTTTCCGTATGAAAATGTATATACTAATTTCGCAATGACCTAATTA